TTAACAGTTTTTAACAAATCATTATCTACAGGGCTAGTTCCCAGAATGTTTAAAACTGCTGCTGTTGAACCATTATTGAAGAAACCCAACCTGGACTGTAACGATCTTAACAACTTCAGGCCGATCTCTAAATGACCCATTTATTGTGAAAACGTTAGAGAAAGTGGTGTACTCTCGGGTTTTAACTTATTTAAATCAAAACTTGCTTCGTCAATATCGCAGTACAGAAGCCGCATTATTAAAGGTTGTGAATGATATTAAGATGAACTCAGATGCTGGTGCTCCTGGATCTTTCTGCTGCATTTGATACAGTTGATCATCATATTCTATTGAGACGACTAAATTATTGGTGTTAGAGACATTGGTGGTTCAAATCTGTTCTTCATGACGCAACTTCTTCTGTAATTTCTGGCAATAATTCGTCCGGTTCAGCGTCTCTCACCTGTGGTGTTCCCCAAGGGTCTATTCTTGAGCCACTATTATTTTCCATTTACATGCTACCACTTGGTCAGGTTATTCATAAATTCAATGTCGCTTTTCTCAAGCGATTCCCAGATTTATTTGGCCATTAACACGTCAGAACTCTCTACTCTCACTAAACTTACCCTCTGTCTTGCAGACATCAAAACCTGGATGTCTGATAATTATCTTTCACGCAACAATGATAAAACTGAGGTGATGGGGTTTGGACCCAAGGCCAAAGGGGATTTAGTAGTTCAGTCCCTTTCTGTTCTTCATGACGTTGTTTTAATTGATTAACGTGAAGCACTTTGTAACATTTGTTTAAAAAAGTGCTACACTAAATAAAGTATTATTATTATTCTGCATTAATTAAAGGTGACAGAGACAACACTGACCAGTTTCTTGCCAAATAGTGAGCTAAATCTTCCACCTATATATTTCATCTAGAGTTGTTATATTAAACATTTCAGACTAAGTTACTACCTTGTAAGCACAATTAACAGTAGTAGTTGTAGATACTTATAATGCAGTGATAAAGTGATAAAGTACATTATTATATGCTAAAGAAATAGGTTTACAAATGCTGATTGTGCTTACAAGGTAGTAACTTAGTCTAAAGTGATTAATATAACAACTCTAGATGAAATATATAGGTGACAGATTTGGCTCAATATTTGCCAAGAAACTGCTCAGTTTTGTCTCTGTTACCGTTAATTAATGCATAATAAACTATTAATAATGATTTATAGAGGAATTAATAATGTATCTATAAACTGTTAGCCATCTATAAGGTGAGCCTTATTGTAAAGTGGTGCAGACGTTTGTTTTGTTGTGATTTTTCTTTAGTTTTGTTGTGTTCAGTTTGTTTCACCTGCATGTTACCTCCGTCAGCTCCTACCCCCCCACCCCCAGTTCAGCCACGCCCACTCACACCTGTCACCTGTTTCATGAAGCTCAGCTGTCTCCAGTCTTTCCCATCAAGGAAAATATTCTTTACGTTTTAACTTCCAGTTTATCTTGCACCAAATGAAAGGAAGCAGACCCCTAAGTATGACATTTCACACATTTCAGATCATTCTTGTCCTATTCTCGGTTGTCCTGGTTCAGTGTGAGTTTTTCCAGAGTTGCTGGCGTTTGTTATATGCACACATTCTCCAACAAACTCATATGGTTGGTATTTAAAGCTTCGTTAGTGACGTCGTCTTGGCAACCAATAGTGACGAGCAGGATGTCACAAAACCACAAAGTTGTTTCCTCACACTTTAGACTCGTACATTTCTTTTTCTTGCTCAATATTTTCTACAGTTTATTCTTTTTTGACACTTCCTTCACTGAAATCTTGTTTCTGTGAGAAAACACATGAACGTATCTGAGTTATAATATATATAAATGAGTTGAAACGGCATCACATTTAGGGCAGAACTCATTCAGCTGCGCAGAAAGGAAGACCAAGCTGTGCGTTTTAAAATAAATGTGGTTTTAAATATGAAAATTGTTAAAATATCCACTGCACTGAAATGAACTCTAAACATGACACATCATTTTTCACAAGAACAAAAAAATTAATGCGTATTTTAAGGTTAAACTTACTAAACTGTATTATATTTACTATCAAACCTTTTTAAGTGTAGTAACTAATAACAAGAAGTTGTATCAGCAGCTATTTATATAATTTATCTTTCAGTTGTTTAAAACGTGAATAGAGTCAGAATTTCTATAATTTTGCAAACAATGTTGGACTTAATCCAGCCATCCGTCCGTCCGTCTATCCATCCATCCATCCATCCATTCATCCATCCATCCATCCATCCAGCTATCCATTCATCCAGCCATTCGTCCATCCATCCGTCCCTCCATCTATCCATTCATCCATCAATCCATCAATCATCCATCCATCCATCCATCAATCCATCAATCCATCATCAATCCATCCATCATCCATCCATCCATTCATCCATCAATCATCCATCAATCCATCATCCATCCATCCATTCATCCATCAATCATCCATTAATCCA